AGCAAATATTTTTACCAACCTCACAAAGGTATTAAACTAGATATTTTTAAGACCCCAGATTCATGCTGCTTATCACTTACTTTGGAATAAAATGTGCAAACTTTGCATAATATTGTCAGGAGAAAATCCTTCTCTTACATCTGATTAGGGCATCTTTCATTTCCTTATTTCTCAGACTATAGATCAATGGGTTTAGCATGGGAATCACTATAGTGTACACAACAGAAGCCAGCTTGCCTTGGCTAAGAGAATCATCAGAATTGGGACATAAATACACAAAGGAGCCTGAGCCATAGAAAAGACTCACTGCTGTCAAGTGAGAAGCACAGGTGTTGAAAGCCTTGGACCTGCCTTCAGCCGAACTCATCTTCAGAATGGTGGCAACAATATAACCATAGGATATCATGATAACCAGGACAGAGGCCAGTCCATAGATCACTGTTAGCATAGCAAATAAAACCTCAAAATAAAAGGTATCAGAACAAGATAAGTTCACTAGTTGCGGCAAGTCACAGAAGAAATGGTTAATGATATTTGGCCCACAGAAATGAAGCTGAAGTAAGCCACACAGCTGGGTTAATGAGCCCAAAGATCCAGTTACGGTGGATCCAATCAACAGCTGTAGACAGAGTGTCGGGGACATGATGGCTGTGTAAAGGAGAGGGTTACAAATGGCAGCATATCGATCATAAGCCATGGACACTAGAAGACAGCTTTCAATCAGACCAAAGCTAGAGGCGAAGAAGTACTGCACAGCACACCCCACAAAGGAGATGGATTTCGGCTCCTGGAAGAAGTCTGAAAGCATCTTGGGAGTCGTGCAGGACACATAGCATATGTCTACAAAGGCAAGTTTACTGAGGAAGTAATACATGGGTGTATGCAAATGAGAATCTATCTTGATCAAGATGCTGAGACCCAGGTTCCAGAAAACTGTCATAAGGTAGATGCCTAGGAATGTTGTAAAGAGGACGACTGTGAGCTTTGGAAATTCAGAGAATCCCAAGAGGATGAACTTGGTAACGGTAGTTCTGTTTCTTCCTTCAGCCATTGCCATGACGCGCCTGAGATCTATAGGATCGTTTGTTACCTCAGTATTCTCAGGCTTTTGAAAAGGAATAGAACATTTCACCATTACTCATTCCTCCAGCCTAAAAGAGAATAAAGAAGCTTCCTGCATATGTTTATTTCTTATATTTTTGGAAAAAAATAAATTAGAACCTACAAGTAGACAAGAATATTCACTTCAGTGTAGTGCTCGACTTTCATTGCTTTTAGAAATGATATTATATATTTGCTGTTGTTGGAATTACTATCTATGGAGTTGG